TTAAAGTAAGGAAACTTTGCTTCCTTTGCTCCTATAAACAAACTCGCGAGACTAGCATATCTCAGAGGCGCGCGCTGCGCATACGTCCTGCATCATCCGCCGGAACAGTTTCTGCGTGGCACGTTTTATTATGAATGCGCGTGCTTTATTTGATGACTTGTGGACTGTTCAACTGCAACACCCCCTGACTGCAATGATAGAGCTTGGAATAGCCAGGACAATTTTTAATATAACTCCGACTGGATTCGTCTGAAAGAAGAAAGTCATATACACCTAGGATGCTTCGGGGTAAGTAAAACACAGTTTAATTTTCATTTTTGGGTGAACTAACCCTTTAAACTGGAATTCCCTGTGTGTGCAATTTTTGTGAGATCCAGGTTCATACGTCTCCTGGCAGTCAGTTTAGCGCTGCCGTGAGAGGCGGACCCCACCCCTTCCCTCTGCCACTGTAATATCAGCCGGGGCCCCGGCCTTGTGACGCCTGCTTCCTTGTTTTCTTCGTCTTTAAAAAGAAAAGAATATCTGGGAGTAACCTATCCCAGCCTGATTTCAGCATTACAACAAGCTGGAAACAAGCCAGCTGCACTGTAAATTAGTTTTATTATGGATTTTTATTTGTGCATAAAAGTGACCCTAGCACAGATATTAAAGACTTTATTAAAATCTAAACATGGATACATAATACATCAGTACTACCGGTGAAGTCCCAGTCAAGCAGTTATGTTCTCCTAAATATGTCCATTCAGTAGTAACACTCGTGTTCAGACAGCTGTGATTAGCTTGCAAATCAATGGTGGATTTGTGCTTGCCATGAACACAGCGTCTCATCCATAATGCATCTGTGCTTAAAGCGGCACGTCCAGGAAAGCATTTTCATTTACGTTGTGCTTTAATGAAATAATCAGTCTTCTTTTGACAGGATTGTATGAGAAATTAGATCAGAACAGCCATTCCTCTCTCGCTGTGTCTCCATCTATGTATCTAGCAATATTTATATATATATATAAATATTATCTATATATTTCTCTTTACCATGCTCTGTGACTGAACTGTGTATACTTGAACTCTTTAAACACTGGGTTTCTTCATTTATCTCTCATGGCTTTCTTTTCTGTCACATTCAGATTGATGGCCGATCCAGAGCCTACTATGTTGCCAAAGACCTGGTGGACTCAGAAAGAGAGTACGTGTTTGTCTCTGTCTGGATTTAAACAAGTTCCAAATACAATCCAGTTGTTTTTCATGTGATGTCCTTCAGGGATCTTCTTTGTTCAGACCCTGTCCACATCTTTATCACTGTCTAGTCTGATTCACTCAACAGCTCCTCTGATGTTCGAACTGACAGCCTATTATTGGACTGTCTGCCTTAAGATACCGCATTTCAGCAGCGGCTCAATGAGTCATTAAGTGTGAAGATTTATTAAATGTGATCCACTATCCAAGCAAGCCTGCTTTTTCCCCATAAGTCCTTCAAATGTATTTGTTATGTATCAACTGGCTTCATTAATCAGCTGTCTAGATGTTGGCATCACTTGGATGATCAGGAATATATCTGCTTGACAGAACTGAACAGCTGTTTTTGTTCTAAGTCTATTTGTTTTTATTTTTCTGCTAACAGTAATGTCATCTCTTTTTAATAATCCACAGACACGTGAAGGCTTTGAAGATTCTTCAGGAGGTATGAAAATCTGTTTCTTTTTATATATATAATATTCTGTTTAATTGTGGTCGAACTGCAGTGGTCGTAGGTGAGATTTTTGCATATATTATCATTTGAAAGTTTGGGGTCAGTAAGATTTTTTCTTATTAATATTGATTGATATTAATATTTTCATTTAGCAAGGATGCATTAAATTGATCAAAAGTGACACTTAGAGGAAAGATTTCTAAATAGAGTAGAGAAAAATATTAAGTATCAGTATGTGGCTCATCTGTTTTGCTCTTTATGATACTGACTTACACTGCGACCAGTGAAATTATGTTTAATGAATGCAGTCTTATTTAGTTTTGATTGTTAAGGCAAGCACCATTATTACCATTGCTTAAACTTGGGGTGTTACAGACATGAATGATACCTCAAGTCACACATGTTGTTAAGAAGAGGTATGCTAATACTTATTTAAGCAATCGGACCAGAACACTTCAGTGACAAAGCAATACTCTAGCAACCACCTAAAACACATTAGCAACCAGATAGCAACACCCTGAAAACCACCCTAGCCCTACCCTATCATAATTTCAGTGACTTTTGCATGGGCAAAACTCATGAATGAATGAATGAATTTTAAATGACACAACCTGTGTAAAACAACTAAATTTTATTTCATGAGAAATGCAAAGGTCCCGTAAAAAGGCTCCTAAATTAGTGTTTTACTGCTGCTGTCACTACCTGTGTCTTCTGTCCTGGCAGCCAATTGCAAAAGTACAAATATACATTGCACCTTTATACACATATGTTTACACATACATTGAGAGACACACACTTGGGTGGGGGGTTTGCAAACCTTTATCAGTGTTGTTTCAGTAACTGAGACTTCCTGGCCTTGACAGCCTTGTCTTGAAAATGTCTGCCTGTGAGTGACGCAATACCTACGCACCAGGCTTTTGTTTGGGAATCTTCTCATGAGTCTCATCACTTGTAAACATAAAAACACGTCAGTTTTGGCTACAAGCCCCAAACAACTTGTCACGGTGTGTGAATTGACTAATTCCCTCTTTTTTTGAGAGAGAGTCTATCAGTTTAAGACATATTACAGTTAAGTATTCAAAGTGGTTTGTAAAGGGATTTCACCCAAATATAAAAGTGTTGTCATCATTTACTCATTCACCTGTATGACTTTTTTGACCTGTATGACTTGCTTATTAGCATGCCTATTATTAACATATTGGCAGTTTATTAGTACTTACAAAGCACATATTCTGCATGAAGATATTCTAAATCCCTAATCCTACCCAATACCTAAACTTAACAACTACCTACCCTATAACTATTAATAAGCAGCGAATTAGGAGTTTATTGAGGCAAAATCCTAGTTAATGGTTTGGTAATAGAGAGAAATTTACCATAAAATATGGGGTGACCTTTTACATGTTTATTTATTTTTGCCTTTTTGTCATTTTTATTAGTTTTTTTGTATTTCTATATAGTTTTTATTTATTTTATTTCAATTATGTTACTACATTGAGTTAAATTAAATGAAAAGGAAAAATAGTGGCTTAGCAACAAGCTGAAATGTCTTATGTTATATATATATATAGTTTTCATTGAGACATTGGTTGCACTCGCTCCTTATATATCAGTGTAATGAAGTGTATCACAGTTTCACTGTGTGTCTGAATGCATTGGCTTTTCACACTGTACTTAATATTGCTTTGTCATGTAGTGTGTCCAATTTAAGTTATCATTTGTTTTCATTAGCTCTCCCACTCTGACAGCCAAAGTGTCTTTCTTACCTGGTTCCCTAGGGCTGCGTGTGTGTGTGTGTGTGTGTGTGTGTGTGTGTGCATGGCTTGCAGGGTCCATGTGAGTGATGAGATTTGCCAGAAAAAAACCTATAACCTATTGTTTTAAACATTGTCCTCTAGACTGTAACCTCATAACCAAATTTAGCACTTTTGTTTTCATGATTAATACAATATGTATCCCAATTATGAAGTCGAGGCGGGGCTGAAGGAACAATTTAACACAATCCAGTGGGAACTAAAGTTCTTCATATGGTGCACCTCATGTAAATTACTATACTCCATATTCACCGTTTTAATTGCCTCATTTGAATAAAATAAGCCATAGTCAATAGAATCGCTGTCCTATTAACGACTAAAGAATGCTAATCATATACATGCCAGTGTGTCTCGTATGCATATGCTGTATTGTATTACAGTAGAGCTGTAATTATAGTTCCCCTTATTCATACATAATGCTGTAGATTTGCATTGAGCAGCATAACGGGAGGGATCGTGAATGGAGCCAAATGAATAGGCACATCACAGCAAGTGCTGCAGTAGTATTTCATGTCTAGCTTTCATTTGAGAGAATGTTCAGTTTGATATTGATATGCTGTAAATATTTATACTGCATTTAACAATTAGTGGGTGTGTGGAAAAGATAAAGATGTCATTAATCACTGTGCTGTGCTGTGCTGAATGATAATGAGCTGGAGGATCTGAGTCACCTTGATTTTCTGTCCACTATGACATCATTAAATCAGTGTTCAGCTGCTGTCAACGGTGACTTTGAGGGCGTTTCCTTCCCCACTGTTGCTTGGGGATTTGCAGTTTTTAGGTTTAGCATATACATCTCTTAAAGGTACTTGGTACTTGACAGTACTGATTGGTCCTATAGATGAAGAGGCTGAAGAAACAAAGCAAAATAGCGCAAATAGCATCACTGCATTACGTTTTTGAATAAAAATTTACTCTCAGTGAAATTAAATTGAGATCAAATGGAGACTTTTCCTAGAAAGTTCAAAAGAACAGCATTTACAGTATTTGAAATCGTTAAGATAAAGTTTAGGAAAAATCTGAATAAAAATATTTTCCTGGGTTGCTTGGCTTGACATTCTTTCTCTGCATTTTTTATTTATCTTTTTGTCTCTTTCTCTCTCTCAGTCTCTCTCTCTCTGTTTTGTGAACTCTGAAAGGAACAGAGTGCTCCATCAGAAGGCTACAGGACAGAACATGTGCCCATTGTTCCATTGTTTGTTATTGAATAACACAAAAATACAAAGAATTTCCAGAACCTGTCCCTAATGTGAAGTTATGCTTTTAATTGTAGTGCAGGTTGCTAGGCATGTGATTTTTGAGAATTTGCAGGGTTTTTTGGGGGGGGGGTTTTGAGCAACAAATGAAAGCATGCAGTTGCATAAACGGGTACAAGAATACAAGTATCTCCCACCAGCCAGTTCATTCCTGTGTCGTGGTTTATGCATCTTAACTGTAAGAAAGCAATACAAGTGTAATGAGACTTAAGAAGGCAACTGTAAAACAAAGCACTTTCATTACAATGAACATTTGGAAATTTGTCAGGGAGTTTCAGCTATTGAGATGCTATCGGAGGAAACAAGTTTCATGGTACCTTGGAGGACTGTATAACAGCTCTGAGTTATTTATGAGAGAATTGACAAATGCTGACACGGCTGTGATCGATACACATTGATTCATGTGTGAAGCTCAGAAAGGAATTCCAGCATACCACCTCCCAGCACGACCGCTTACACGTCTGTGTGCACATGCATGTCTGACTTTGTTTTATGTCATCACATTTCTCATAACGGATACACAATCCCTAACGGCTTTGCCTGTGAAGACATTTCAGAGCAGATTTTATCCCGATTCATAAGGTACATGACGTGTATATATAGTAGGTCAAGTAAATCCTCTCTGGATCTGAGCCATCAGGCTAGTGGTCCCGAACAGGCCAGCTCATGGCCGCTCAATTTAACTGTCTGTTACAGCCAAAACAAATATATTCAGTGACAGTGATTTCTTCTGTATATCACCACTTTGAGTGACTTACACACCCACTGCTTTATAGCTGTTTTATCATAGAATAATCTGCTTATGATGTTCAACCCAGGTGTTAGGCTATAGAATATGTATCATGCACTGTAACTACATTTTTATGCAGTAAATTAAGTATATGCAATACTTAATGTGAACTTCTGTTCATTTCTTTCTGCTTACTCAGTATAGATGTATGTTACTTTAAGTTTTTTAAACCATAATTTGACTTTTTTTTCTTCTTGATGCACAGTATATTACAGTAAGTGTTTTTATTAAATGTACTTTTTTCTGTTTGTTTTCTTGTACCAAGAACTTCTGGAAACCATTCCAAATTCTGATTCTGAGAATGGAATGTGGAATCTTGTGGAATGGATTTAAACATGATAATTTATGTCACTAGTACACTTTGGCAGCTGAAATCATCAAACAATACAAAATATTTAAAGGAATATTTCATCAAAAATGAAGATTTTCTGAAAATTTACTCACCCTCAGGCCATCCAAGATGTAGATGAGATTGTTTCAGAACAGATTTGGTTTGGAGAAATTGAGCATTGCATCACTTGCTCACCAATGGATCCTCTGCAGTGAATGGGTGCCGTCAGAATGAGGTCAAACATCTGATGAAAACATCACAATAATCCACAAGTAATCCACACAACTCCAGTCTGTCAATTAATGTTTTCTCATGTGAAAAGATGCTTGGTTGTAAGAAACAAATCCATCAAGACATCTTAACTTTAAACCATTGCAACTGGCAAAAATAATCCATAATAATGCTTCCTCTCATATCAAAATGCTTCTCACATCAAAATCCACAAAAAATATTGTTTTGGAACTGTTTTAGACTGTTTTCGCTTGTAAACAGTGCTTGATCTGTGCATATTTCTCTCCTGATTCAGAGTGGAGAAAGCAATATTAAGGATAGAGGACTTGAATGGTTTGATGATAAATTTGTTTATTATAAACAGATTTCACTTCACAAGACGTTAATAAATGGACTTTCAATTGATAGAGTTGTGTGGATTATTTGGGATGGTTTTTATCAGCTGTTTGAACTCTCATTTTGACAGCACCCATTCACTGCAGAGGATCCATTGGTGAGCAAGTGATGTAATGTTAATTTCTTTTCATCTCTTCTGATGAAGAAACAAACTATCTTGAACCATCTTGAGTGGCCTGAGGGTAAGTAAATTGTTAGCAAATTTGATTTTTTTGGGTGAGTTATTCCTTTAATGCACCTTCGCATTGTTTTGGAATACTTAATGATTCCTCATGCCAGTCCACTTTCTTACAGGATTTTAGAGCAGCAGTAGAGTCAGCAGGAGATGATGAGGAACCACTGTTAGAAAACGGGAGGCTGGACGAGATCCTGAGCACTCTTCCTCAGGCCTACCACCTGCACAATGAGATCCTCAATGAGCTGGAGACCCGCATTAAACAGTGGTGAGAACACACATACTGAAGCACATTACACTGATGCACACTAAACTAATGCACATCAATATCCAAAATTTACACATGCTTATGCACACATTTAATAGCATGTCATTCCAAAAAAATTCCTTATTTGTGTTATATATAACATGTGCATCCTTTACAAGGTGCTAATGCATGCACTCCACATACTGTATGCATCTCCCCAGCTGAGCCACATATTAATATGGACAAGCTGATGTGTTCTTGTCCACGATACATTACATTACACATTCTTATCTGTTTTATAGCAGTACATATGATGTTACAGTAGCACAATCCATTATAATGCTAGCATGAGTGTCCTTGGATGTCCTCTGAAAAGTTTTCGTTGTTTCTCATTCATCTTCAGGGAGGACAGTCCGAGTGTGGTTGATGTTATATTAACGCGCCGGGCTGAGTTGTCATCCTTCGCAACTTACATCTCAGACTATGACCGCAGCATGTCACTGCTGGAGGAGTGCTGTAGACAGAGGAAAGCTTTTGAGGATGTGGTGAAACGGTTTGAGGTGAGGTCTGTGACGCAAATGTGTGTGGTTTGTTTGGGAATTGATCACGATTTTATGATATGAAAAAAAATCTCAATTGATAGATAAAATGTTGCCTTTTTAATTACCTTTTTATTTTTTATTCTGTGCCAGAAACTAAAAGAATAAGAAAGTCCGAATTCAGACTTTTTTAGACTTTTATGTCTCGAAGTTCTGATTATTTTGCTCAGAATTGTAAGAAAAATGTCTGAATTGTAAAATAAAACGTTGTAATTACCTTTTTTATTTTTTATGCATATGCATATCTTTTAACATATTTTTATATAATTTTAATATATATTTGTATAATTTTCTATATAGTATTTATATATAAACTTATTTCTAAGCAAAAATTGTAATGTGCTAATATATTAATATATTTATAATAGTTTCTTTTTAAGTATAAAAAATATTAACAATATAAATATTAACATTACATGTGTTAATGTCTCTTAATAATATTTTATTAATATTTTTGCTTTTTAAATAGTGTGTTCAATAGCATTTTACTTTTTGTTGTGAAATTGGTATTGAGAATAATTAAATATGGTTTCATCGACTTCTACGGTTTCAGTAGGGCTCACTTTTGAGGTCTGGTACAAATATGACATGGGCTAGAAAAATACATAGGCTATAAGGCTAATATGTATGCACATTTAATCATTAAAAGATCGCGATATCAATTCAAACACACGCAATCTTATTCCTAAATGACTGTGATTCTGCTATGTCTATTAAACCTTTGAAATCACAATCACATCGGAATATTTAAAACTGCTTTTGCGCAGCCGCTGATCCAGAGAGAGCAGCGCTCATCATGTAAAGCTTTATGTTTGAAACAGCTTCACAAACAGTCTACACAGCAGGCTATATTTCTGTGTTGCAAACATTAAATAATAACGAAAGTATTGGAATAAAAATGTATAGTCCTGATATAGACTCTGATGTTGCGGGAGCCACGATCAAAATGGGTCTTTGAAAGTAATGAAGTTCTGCAAATAATGATTGTATATGTTACATTATGCCAGTAGGTGGCGAACAGTGACTGTTAAATGTATTTGATGTCTGAATCATTCATTCAAGAGATTCAAAACGAAACAAGTCTTCATTTATTTATTTATCATGATTTTTTTTACATAATTAGGCAAATTCGTTTAAATTAATAAATATTTTAAATAGACTTATTTATAACATTAATAAAACATTTTTAATAAATAAAACATCAGAAACTAAATTACATATTTTGTTTGGTTCTCTGTTTTGTTTTCAAAACAGAATCATAGCTTAAAAATACATAGGCTAATATATGTGGCATCTAACTAATACCATTAGTACTGTTAATATTAAAATTAATTAATTCAAATCACAGAAGTACTGGGATAAAAGTTTATAGTTTAGATTTAAACTCTGATGTGTTCAGTAGCGATTAAAATAGAGTAAATCACATTTGAAAGTAATTTGACACTTCAAATGAAGATTTATCAATTACATTGTTACGCCAGTAGGTGGCGAAAAGGAGCTGTTAAAATGTATTTGTATTTGAATCCTACAAGAGATTCGTTCAAGAACACTGATTCATCCAGTAATGAAACAAGTACATCTTGAGTGAATCATTCATTCATAAATTACATGTGATTTTGTTTAGTTGTCTAATGTTTTTTCTTCAGAATCATAAGAGAACCACAACTTCCATTGGAAAAAAGAAAGAAAAAAAAACTCAGTTTATTCAGAATCATGCAGCTCTATTTTGCACACAAACAGCTCTTAAAGAGTCCAGTTTTTATGTAGCCTGTTGAATTTTTGTTCATGGTATTCAACTGCAACTAAGTGGTTTGCAAAAAGAGAGACAGGATAAATGTTTGATATCATTTTTTAATCCCATTGGAATCGAAACTGGGAATCGAAAAGAATTAGAATCGATAAGCAGAATCGGAATCGGAATCAGAATTGATCAAATTCAAACGATACCCAACCCTATTCACGACAGAGGCTCCGCTGAATCATTTAATTGGAGGATGGTTGGTGGAGACCACACATTTCAGTGGTGATCGGGATCACCAACGACAAGAAGCCAGCTGTCCTCGCTCATTAATATGCATGAGCATCTGTATTCAGAGAAGCCTCGGTGGGTGGTAGACTCAAAATTAGACCCTCAATGTATAGCAGGGAGAGACAGGAAAGAGAGAAAGAAAGGCTGATTTAGCCAAATGTCTTTTAAATGTGGCATTGTCGTCAGCTGCTCAAACTGTTGGTAGATTTCTTCTTATATACATGAATTAAGCTTGGTAAAATTCTCAGGGGTTTGTGAAATAAGTTAAGGAGTGCTTTTTTAAAATATTTTTTAGATCAAGGACTGCATCTTTAATAATGTGTGACAGCCTGCCGTGGCTTCAATAGCAGAGGCTCAAGATCCAAATAACTCCAGAGTAATGAAACAAGATTAAGATGTAATTTCTGCTTATAACAGCGCATATTATTCTTCACAAAGCATGTCAACACAATGTAATTCATTTGTGGGTGTGAAATGTGCTCACTCAGTGCTCTCAGTGAGTCCAGGTCAGTACGGCTGCAGTAACGCTTATAGGCTTTGACTGGGTGATGTATGTACTGAGCATCACTGGTTGCCTCTGGTCACTCCGCACTAATGAAACCAATAGAGCTGACTCTCAATGGTGTACCACCACGTAAACACACACACACACACAAGTCAACAACGAGGCAGGCTTTTCCTTACGTTTCTCTCATCCTGCCAGCTATTTGTCTAGCCACCGCTGACTTGTTTTATTCACCCAATCTGTGCTGTGATGCTTCTCTCGGCTCGTTAAATGGGAGGAGATGCAGTTGTTTTATTGATCGGGGCCTGAAGGTGGACAAGTCAGGAGTTTAAACACCCGCTTGAATTTATCAGTATATGCCACCATTGTAGCTCTGTAGAAATGTTAAATGTTGAAATGTTACTGGATCACTTCATCAAGAATATGGGAAAAAAATGATGCCTGGTTTAAGGACCATACGATTTTATTGAATTATAACATTTAAGCACGTTTTCTCATTATCATTATGCAAAATGTCATATTCTGTAATGTAAAACAAGATTAATATTTAAATTTGAAAGTATTTATGTGTAATGGAAGTATTTGTTGCACCAACTTAAAAAAAGTATGCTGTTTTACAGTAGTCTAATGAGAATCATTGAGAATAAATTGAATTACTAAAAAAAAAACAGCCTGATGTTATGTATGCATCAGTAGAAACAATAATTTGAAGAAAGAAAAAAAAAGATACAAAATACCAAGGATAGGAATTTCTCAAAAAAAATATATATATATAAAATGTATTAAAAATATTATTTAAATATTTTAGTTATTTTAAAACATTTTAACAATGTGACATTTATTGACATTTATTAATTACTAGGGCTGGTAAGTGATTAAAATTTTTAATCTGATTAATTACATGCTGTGGCGATTAATTCATCTAATTAATCGCACATCAAATTTGGCTGAGAAATTACTCCCAAAAGATAATTTAAAGTCATTGTTGTGTAAAGCATCAAACAGACATTACAAAAAGTAGCTTCAGCAAGAAATATTTTGTTTGATAAAATGTATTACATATACTCTTTTGGACCATGAGGGTGAGTAAATGATGACACAATTGTAATTTTTGGGTGGGTGAACTATACCTTTAATAATTAATTTTATTATTTTTATTATTATTATTATGGAAATATGAAATTATTTCTTTAATGAAATGATACTCTAAATAATAAATTAAAGTTGCCAGTAGGTGGTGGTAAATGTCTTGATGATTAAGTCATTGAGTCATTTGTTCATCCATTTGATTTGTTCAAATGGCTGATTCATTCAGGAGTGAAGTAAATGGCTCCCTTTATGAATGGTCCATTCAATCATTAGGCTTGTTCAACTTGAAGCGGATCATCACCATCAGACCGGTCGGTGTGTGAAATCAAAGTACTGCAAGAGCTATAGAGAGCAGACAACTCTGCATGCTTTTGAATCGCTCTTGCGGTACTTTGATGTCATACACCGATCGGTCTGTGCAGCGCCGCTTCAAATCCACTGAGCCTAATGATTCCCCCAATTCGTTCAAAACGTGCATTAAGAAATGAAATGCCGCTGTGTGTTGCTC